TACAGGTGAAACTCGAATAATTAGAATATCGTGCAAAGTTCATTTATTTCACTAATGCAACTTAAAAGGTGAAACTAATATATGAGAGAGACTCATTACATGCAAAGCAAGATAGTTCAAGCCGTGATTTGTCATCATTGTGATGATTATGGCTTACAGCTCATGAAAACCCCAAGAACACCAAATCCACAACCTCAAAAAAGTAGATTATTACATGCAATCAATAAAACAAGGATTGTACATAGAACAATATCGGACCTCTGAGAAGTACAAGCATGCATATGTACTCAGTACTTGGTTTGGGCCCCTTTTGCAGCACTTACTGCCATTACTTTTGCACGATATTCTAATTATTCGAGTTTCACCTGTATATACATTGTACACCCGGCAGTTATGGATGTGCAGCGGGCTATTGGGGCATGAAAGAGTTATTTGCATGGCTCCGCCCACTGTCCGGAAATGGGCAATAATCCTCTTATGTTTGGGATTTCTGTTTGGAGGAGACATCTGCGCTAATCTTTCTGGGAAGAACTGAAGATACATTTTTGTTATTTGTTTCTTTTTATACATTTGTAAATAATCTTCATATCACATCCTCCCGTATTCCTCACATCCTCCCGTATTCCTCACATCCTCCCGTATTCCTCACATCCTCCCGTATTCCTCACATTCTCCCGTATTCCTCACATCCCCCCATATTCCTCGCATTCTCCCGTATTCCTCAGCTTCCTCACATCCTCCCGTATTCCTCACATCCTCCCGTATTCCTCACATCCTCCCATATTCCTCAGCTTCCTCACATCCTCCCGTATTCCTCACATCCTCCCGTATTCCTCACATCCTCCCGTATTCCTCACATCCTCCCGTATTCCTCACATCCTCCCGTATTCCTCACATCCTCCCGTATTCCTCACATCCTCCCGTATTCCTCACATCCTCCCGTATTCCTCAGCTTCCTCACATCCTCCCGTATTCCTCACATCCTCCCGTATTCCTCACATCCTCCCATATTCCTCACATCCTCCCGTATTCCTCAGCTTCCTCACATCCTCCCGTATTCCTCACATCCTCCCGTATTCCTCAGCTTCCTCACATCCTCCCGTATTCCTCATTCACAGGACGTTTGCCAAATACCGTTTCTAAGGGGGTTATTCACAAAGCTAGCCGAGGGATCCAGCTGTAGCTTCGGCCGCCGGAGCCCTTTGGTTCAGTAGAAGGGCTGCTGTACCGGCTTATTCACTATAGTCCGTACAGCTCCCGAAGCTGGCCGAGCGGCTCGGCCGAGCCGAAGGCGTATGCTTCGGCTCAACTGAGCCGAAGTGGCACCCGAAGCAGGGCGAAAGCTTTGCCACTGACAGCTGGGCGGATCTCACGACCGGCTCCGCCCAGTTGTAATGACAGATCAGTGTCGCCAGGATACATGGGGACACTGAGCTGTCATTAAACAATGACAACTGGGCGGAGCCGGCCGTGACGTCAAGGCCGGCTCCGCCCCGTTATTATTCATTGGCTGGGACCTGCTAGCAGACTTTAGTTACCAGGTCCCGGCCAATAGGAAACAGTTGAGCGGAGCTAGCTGTCACTGCTAGCTCCGCCCAATTGTTTTTTTGGGTTTTTTTAAATTTTATTTTTAAATTTATCATTTATTTACATTTTAAACATTTTTTTCTACTTTTTTTTTTTTTTTCTACTTTTTCCACAGATTTTCTATTCTGCTCGGTACCACGAAGGTACCGAGCAGAATAGCCGAGCCGTTGAGAGAAACACCGGTGAGAGAAAACCCAGAAATCAGAGAGTGGAGCACAGCGACCAATCAGAACCACTCTGGACAATTCTGGCTCCAGATTGGTCGCTCTGTACTACGTCCCCTTATCTCAGAGCGCCGCTCACTGAATACGGCCGAACGTCTCACCTCTCCAGTTCGATCTTGCGGGGGCACTTCCCGGGGGGCACCTCGTACTGGACCTGCGCTTTGGGCTCATAACCTCTTTTTGAGAAGTCCGATTTGACAAGAACTTCTGTCGTCGGACCGTAGACCTGCCTATCGAGGAGAGCCTGGAGGTCTGCCGGAGCTTCGAAACTGCTCGCTGAAAGAGATAAAGATCATTATATATATATAGCTCTGACATATACCGCAGCGCTGTACAGAGAACACTGAGCCAGTCACATCAGTCTGTGTACAGAGGAGCTTACACTCTAATGTCCCCCCACAGTCACATCAGTCTCTGTACAGAGGAGCTTACACTCTAATGTCCCCTCCCCCACAGTCACATCAGTCTCTGTACAGAGGAGCTTACACTCTAATGTCCCC